TCACGTTCCAATTCCAACGGGAGAAAACAGCCTTTTCTTATGAACTGCTTTGTGTTGATGATCAGTTGTACTTGCACCTCTGATTCCGGTTGAACTACTTGAATATTTAAAGCAGCAATTCACAAGCGTATTATAGTTTTTCATAGTAATTAAGTATAAAAATCATTATGTTAAGGGAGCTTTTTTATTTCTTTCGTCACCTTGAATGATTGATTGATAATTGTTGGGCAGAAAGCTTATTTTGTCATAGTAAATCAACTATTGTAATGTAAAGCCTGTTATTGCCTAAGAATTGCAAACAATTTTTCTGTCCAGATTACGGTTAAAGCACCATTTTAAAATTTTTAGACAAAAGAATTGTCCGTTTAAAGTTCATTGGATAAGTTTTTCCAAAGTAATGCAGTCAAACATGTCACCTATGCTGACGGGACTAGTCCCGTCACTGATACTGACGGAACTCGTGTCACGTCAGCGCCACGTAGGCAGTCCAATTACCGTAAATCTTCGGAAGACCATAACTTGTGACTCGGGTATTCAAATCAGATGTTTTTTTTTTATTTCATATAACTTTTCGAGATCTACGCAATGATACCTCATTTGACATATTTTATCTCCCACAAACATAGTTTGAATTTGTAACAATTGTATCACAATCACAAGAGTGTTTATTCATAAGACTATTTTTATGGGAGATAAAATATATCAAATGAGGTGTCATTACGTAGATCTGGAAAAGTTATATGAAATCAAAAAAAAAATCATCTGATTTGGATACCCGAGTCACAAGTTATGGCCTTCCGAAGCTTTACGGTAATTGGACTGCCTACGTGGCGCTGACGTGGCACGAGTCCCGTCAGTATCAGTGACTGGACTAGTCTCGTCAGCATAACTGACATGTTTGACTGCATTACTTTGAAAAAACTTATCTAATCAGCTTTAACCAGATAATTCTTTTGTCCAAAAACTTTAAAACGGTGCTTTAGCCCCAGATTAGCTAATAATACTGTCCTAATTAGCAGGTATATATTCAACAAGATTGTTTTCGAGTGTATAGCTTGTATAACAATCACATGGCTAGTGATATAAATAGCAATTACCTCTGAAAATGGGCAAAGCCTCTCACTAAGGAATGGTTCAAAAAATTTATTTAATAAGGAATAAGCCGAACGAACTTTGTGCCTCTGTCTGGTCCACAAGGACAATGACAAAAAGAAATGCATGTGTCGTACAAAGAAGATAAGAAAACGATTTCTACACTCAACCGGAAAAAAAAAAACGATTTCTACTTTGGATGAGGATTTTTTGCGGTTGTTTGTGATCCAAACCCATAAAGTTAATGTTATAAAAATCGAATTGATCCGGCTGGATTCACAAGAAAATTGATGAATCGATTATATAATTGGTCCGATTTTTATATTAGATCGGTCATGTAATGAAATTAGTGTGATCTGGCCGATTTTTATAAAAATTAGTGATTCGGCACGATTCATAAAAAAAAAATTGGTTTGCTCTAATCAATAGATGTTTTTCTTTTTTTCACTTTCACACAAATAGTTTGTTTTCTTTTGAAATATCTGAGTGATTTGTTACTTATTGACTTATATAGGTTTTGTACTTACAACACTAATATTATTTTGTTTATGCAATATGTAAGGAATTTTGATTTGATTTATAGTTAGAGATATTGTCTATTGAACCTGAAACATCAGTATCATAAGTATTATATATTTAATTGATCTTTTGTTAGACAATGATGTATAATTTATTGTTTTTCATATTAAAATATTTGGAATTGATATATTTTTTTACAGGTATTTGAGTATATTTATAATATTTTGATATAAATTATAGATTTACATATACTTACATTATATGGTTGAACCGGACAATAACTAGTTTGGCTTTAATAACATTGCATGAAACATTTTATTTAGGGACAAGATATACTTACCACCAAAAAAGTTTACCACTCTTACAATCAATTTAATCACTGTTGATTTATGTCAATTCAACGGTTATAATCTATTGGAAATTAATAATTAATTAATAAATGTGACATAATAAATTCTATATATTTCTAATAGATTATAACCGTTAGATTGACGGAAATCAACGGTGATTAAATTGGTTGTAAGAGTGGTAAACTTTTTTAGTGATTAGTGGATCCATTCCCTTTTGTTATATGATAAACAACGTAACTTTAAAAATAATTTTCTAAAGCCCGATTAATTTGTTAAAAAAATGTACTTTGTTTGTTTTTTAAAAATAATACAAGCATTAAAAAATCACTAAAATAATAGTACAAAATTTAAAATTCTTATTATCCACTAAGTTAGATTATAAAATTTTGTTCAAAATAAAAAAAATAATAACCCTTCTTTATTTTTCTCAACTATATTACGTGCACAATAATACTTAACATAAATGGTATTGCAATAAATTTTTTGTTATTATGTGTACGAAGAAAAAAAATCATGGTATTATAATTAGTATTTATGCGCATTAAATAATGGTATCATAAATAATTTTAATCTTGGACATTGTTCATATAACTATTGTCAGCCGGTCAGAGGAAGTCTGTGGCGGGGACCACCACCAATGAATTAAGCTAGGCCAACTATACTAAGTGGGTGCGACATCATATCTCAATCCAAAACTTTAAGGCATTGGGTTCATGGATCTATTTACTTATATTCATTTCACTTAGCCTCCTATTACCAATCAATGTGAGACTCATCACACTTGGATACTCCAACAATTGGTATTTGAGTCCATCCCGACTCTGATACCACTGTCAGGCAGGTCCAAAGGAAAGTCCGTGGCAGAGAGATCACCACCAATGGGCTAAGCCAGGCCAACCACACTAAGTGATGTCACAACCCAAAATCTTAAAGCATTAGGTTTATGAGTCCTTTCATTTATATGCATTTCATTTAATTCATTACAAACCAATATGAAACTCATCACACTTGAATATCCTCACAAATACACTATCTGTCATTCTAAAAAGAGTTGGAGAGAATTCTCATCCTTTGAACTTAAAATCAAGGCAGGGGACAAAGGGGTAGAAAATCCACAAACCAGGCCATTGCATATTATAGTATCTCTTTCTCTATTATTCCACATTAAAGACTGTAGTGTTTGGTGTAAAAAATATTAATTTCCAAAAGCATGCACTTGGAAGGACTCTCATAATTGAAATGATGACTACTCCGTAGCATATAAGACGATAAAAGAACCAGCATGCTGAGTGAAAATAATTAAGTATTATAAGTTTGTGGATTTAGATTCAATTTTAGGATTTTTTTTTTCATTGGTTCATGATCCGATTTAAATTAATTTGAGCACGGTCCGATTCATATAGGGATGATTATTCCAGAATTATTTTTTCTATTCTTATAACTCAAACTCAAGATATTTGATTAAAATAAATAAATTTCTTATCACTTAAACCAAAGATTCATGCGTATAGAAAAGAAATTGTTGGATGGGTCTTCTCCGTACCTTGTTTTTAAAAATCATTTCCATAATTATAAAGAAAGAGATACTCCTAGAAATATAAAAGATGATACATTTAAAAGGAATGACTACTGGTGTTATGCTTCGTATGTTGTATCACATAAATACATGGATGATGATTTATTATCATACTTTTAGATTTTGTATAGATAAAACTACGAATTAATATTTTATTGTAAGAGATAAATTTATTTCTTACATAAATATAAAAATATAAGAACATGTGGGTCAATGTGAGAAAAAATACAAAATAAAAAAATATGAATTTCACACACTTTTATATATAAAAGTTAATTATATAAAGATTCCATAATTAGATAAAGCTACTTTAGTTTTGAAAAAAAAAGACAAATCAATTCTTAAATTTTTAAAAGTGTGATGTTTGTTTGTTTTTATATTTGTTTTTAATTTTAAGAAGTTACAAAAAAAATCTTGGGTAACCCATCACATCAAAGTCAAAGGGATTGGTAACAAGGAGAGAGATACTATTTTCTTTGAAAGTTAATAAAGAGAATAATTCTCTCATTAATCATTTTTCAACCATACAAAGAGAGTTAACTCTCATGATTGCACGAAATTGGATTAGAAAATGACTCATAAAAGATCATTTATAAGCTGAATAGGTAAAGATTTAATCTTAACACACTATTACTTAAACTAACATACTAACTTGAGTATTAAAGGTAATTTCAATTTATTACTCCCACATACGCGGAACAGTAACATTAACATGATCGACCTATGTACGATGACATTATGGTTTATAAACAAATTAATGGTTTTAAGACACATTAAATAGAAAATGAAAATAGAATAACATATAATTTATTTGTAGATATCAAATATATATCGTCCCACATAATCATGTTAGATAATTCACGAAAAGATCTTTCTCGAAGCAAATGGAGGAGGAGCTAGCTAAGTCCAAAACTCGAAACTGAAAATCTCGAACACAACACCGTCAGAAAATTGAGATGCGGAACCGTGGAAGTGGGAAAAAGTGAAGCCGAGGCTGAGATTTTGGTTAGAAAAATAATAGTTTTACTCCAAATTTTGTATGGATTCAATGTGTATTTTTGTAAAGGACAGAAAATTGTATTCTTTTAGCAATTATAATTATAGTAATATATAATTATATATAAAAGGACAAAAAAAATCCCCCACTTTGTATACTATTTTTGCATTTTTACATATTTGTTTTAAAATAAATTAGTTTTTTCATATATAAATATCATTACTCATAAATTAAATAAAAAGTGTAAGAAAAGATTAATTAAAGCTAAGAGAAGAAGAAAAATGAATAACAAACGTCTGTGTGGGACCCCTTTCAAACCTGTGAGGCTGTGACAGAGACGACAGTTTCATACGTCCGTTTTTTAGCTTCCCCTCCTCCTCTTTGCTTATTTAAACTCCTCTCTCTCTCTTACTCAATAGTTTTTGGTCTTTACTTTTATTTTTTTCAAGAGTTAGAAATATAATTTTTTATTTCTTGCTGCTGAGGAGACTATGAATGTAATATTTAATATACTTTATAAAGTTGGAAGCTCTGTATTTTTGTGGTTTTTGTGAATTCTTAAGCTAAGCTGAATCTTATCTTTCACACCTTTCAATCTCAAAACAATGGAAGAAGAATCTAGGGTTTGAGAGCACCAATTCCATCAAGGTCGGTGCTTTGGTGCTTTTACTATTAATTTTTTCACTGCCATTTCTCTCCCGAGCAGAGGCAGATATGTTCCAATCTCTGCTTGCTCTATTCTCATAGCTGGGTCTCACTCATTTTCAAAAAATTAGCCCTTTCATGAACTGAAATTTTGAAACTTGAATCAGAAATCATCTATTCCTCGGTTCTTTGGCTGGTGAAAATTGGGGTTCTTCTCTATTTAGGTCTTTCTATCTTAATCTGCCGCATGTGGCTGAATGTGTAATTTATTTGTTATATAAATGTACATTTTTCTTTTTCTTTTGTAGTATTCTGGTGTTCTTGGCTTAGGTTTGCGTTGGGGAATTAGTTTTTTTTATTCTTTTTGTCTTTCGTTTTTGGATAGATAGAGACTAATATGGAGGAGGTTGAAGAAGCTAACAGAGCAGCTGTTGAAAGCTGTCATAGAGTTCTAAGTATGTTGTCTCAGCCTCAGGATCAAGTTCAGTATAGGAACTTAATGGTGGAGACTGGAGAGGCTGAAGTGAGGTTTAAGAAAGTTGTTTCCCTGCTCAGTGATGGTTTGGGTCATGCAAGAGTGAGGAAACTCAAAAAACTCCAAATCCCTTTTTCGAAAAGTATCCTCTTGGAAAATCCAAATTGCAGAATCAGACATCAATCAAAAAATCTGCAGTTTCCTCAAACTATTTTTCCTGACAATTCAGTTCAGGAATTGGGTTCAACTGTCAGAAATTCACTCTGTCTGGGAAACCCGTCTTTGGAATTGAGCTCCAATGGGAAAAGTCCTCTTCACCTTAACCAACAATCGTCATCAATTCACTACCACATCCTTCAGCAGCAACAACAAAGGTTATTACTGCATCAGCAGCAGATGAAACATCAAGCAGAAATGATGTTCCGAAAGAATAATAGTGTCGTAAATCTGAATTTTGATAGCTCTAACTGCACACCTTCAATGTCATCTACTAGGTCTTTCATTTCTTCCTTGAGCATAGATGGAAGTGTGGCTAATTTGGATGGAAGTGCCTTTCATTTAATAGGAGCTTCACACTCCTCAGATCAGAATTCCCAACAGCACAAGAGAAAATGTTCTGCCAGAGGTGATGAGGGTAGCGTGAAATGTGGGAGCAGTGCTACTGCTAGATGCCATTGCTCAAAGAAGAGGTCAGATTCCCTTCCTCAACATATTTGAATTCACTTTTCTTCTATGTTCTGGTATTGTAGTGGCCTACATTAATCCTCTTTGTTCTCAAAGATCTAATATTCATTTTAATATGCCATTAACTACTCTGTGCGTCCTCCACAGGAAAAATAGAGTGAAAAGATCAATTAAGGTGCCTGCTATTAGCAACAAACTTGCAGATATCCCTCCAGATGATTATTCATGGAGGAAGTACGGACAGAAGCCAATTAAGGGGTCACCTCACCCTAGGTATGTTCAAGTTCTGCTTTCTGAAAATTGACTGATTTAAGTGGCAGTATGACTGTGCAGAAATAATTTTCAAAAGTTTCAGCACTCTTTGGTTAGTTTTGATTATTGTGCAGTTCAGTTTGCATTTATGATTTTATAGCAGTAAAAGTGACCATGATGTACCTGCCCATAATATCTTGTGGTGCATGTGGTGGTGGTTTTGCTTCAATTGAAGTTGCTATTGCATACCTCTGTGCTTGTGTAATTTGTTCTAAGGAGGTATTCTGGTAGATCAGAACATTACAGACTTGAGTAATTGAAATGGTCCAAGATTTTGCTTCTACAATGTTCACTAGTTTCTTCATCTTTTGGAACAATTATTGTATTCACAGATCTATATGATGGCTTTTTGTAGATTAATTACAAGACTTTTTTCATGGCTCTTCTGTCTCTGAAAAGTGAAAACATGAATGAGAAATTAAAATCTGGCATTTTTGAAGTGTGTACGTAAAACACCTTTCTGTAGGTAACTCTGATTTGTTTTGTGCTTTATTATATGAAATTATAACGATCAGTTGATAGGTGTAGGTGGACAATCACAAATGTCTTTATCACTCTACTTGACATCAACAGAGATTTCCTTTTTAATGTGCTACATTTTAGTTTAATCTCTGAATGTGAACCGTAGGTTTTATTTTGAGGAAATTGACCGTAATTGCTCTTTTTTCAGGGGATACTATAAGTGCAGCAGCTTGAGAGGCTGCCCTGCTAGGAAGCATGTGGAGAGGTGCTTGGAAGAGCCTAACATGCTAGTTGTTACCTATGAAGGCGACCACAACCACCCAAAATTACCAACACAATCCGCAAATGCATGAACTACATGGAGAGCTTAACCAAGATCAAGCCCCATTGTTCATTTTATCAAAACCTCTGGTTATCTTGAGATGCTTCTGTACATAATTTAAGTGGTGCAAGCAGGGTTGTTCTTGGCGCAGTTTTTTGGCTTTTGGTTTGTTGGTTAATGAGCCATTTAGTTAGAGAGCGGGGAAGAGGATCGGTGATAAAATGAAGTCTGTAAAATTGGTAGTTCGATTCGCATGAACTATTTCGTCTTTCTTAAGCATGTTAAAAACATTTTAGGGTTTTCTAAATGAATGAAAATGCCTTTGAAAATGATAACCTTATCTGTTGAACCACTTCTCATGCATGAAATCTCCTGGAATCTTAAGATACAAGAATCTTGAGTTTAAAGGTTGGATAATGCACAAGATTTTTACTTTAGTTGACTAAATTAAATCTATTAAAAGCTTAAAGTTGTTTAAATTTTTTAGAAGGATTATATCGAATCCTATTGTAATAAAGCTCTTTAAATTTATCATCAAGCACGGTGATAAGGGGTTGTACTAATTCAAGCAATGATCAGTCATGTTAAAAAATTTATACGAAGAGTTACGAGTTCAACTATTCAATAAACAAGTGAAGAAATTAAAAAAAAAAAAATCTACCAAAAAAAAAAAAAAACTTTCAATTTGTTTCTCCCTGCCGTCAAGATTCTAGCACATAGTTGTGGAGGTATGTCATTTGCCAAACAAATGAATCTAGGCAGTGTATATCCCTTACAAAATATAATAATAAAAAAATGGTTTTATGTGGTTGTTATTGTTGAGGTGTAGTCCCACATTGTTTTGAAAAATATTAACTAAGTATTATATAAATGAAAGGACTCATGCACCATTAGCTTTAAGATTTTGAGTTTGATCATGGTGTTCTGAGCCCACTTACCATTGTTTCTTTCTTGGTTCATAGTTAGCGGTCTCACCCCACCACGAGCTCTCCCTACAGGCCCAACATGTGATATTAGAGCCAATGGTGGGATTGGTCGGCATGTGGTGATCGAGAATGAGTGTAGTCTTATATTTTTTGAAAAAGGATTAAGTGAGCATCATATAAAAACTCATGCACATAATGCCTTAACAGGCCAAATCAAAAAAATGCAATGGCCCAGTGGCGGAGCCATGTATTAGCTGGGTGTGGCCTCGGTCCGGACTAAATTTTAACAAATTATACTTATTATATATAATTAATTATAATTTGGCCTGAGTTAAAATTATAATTCGGCCCAGACTACAATTTATAATTTGGCCCTATCTAAAAATAATTTTGGTGAAAGATTCGGGTAAGTTGTATTAGGTTATGTGTTCAATTTTCATTTGTATAAAAAAATAAAATATGTTCTTAGTAAAATTAAAAAATATTTAATAAAATTATAACTCTTCTTGATGCTACCTGTTCAGGTGCTCTATATTTAATATAATTTGAATATATTATAATATGAACTAATTAAAATTACGAAAAATAAATACACATATAATTTTTTGGCCGGGCTCAAATTCGAGCCCAGCTCCGCCAGTGCAATGGCCCCTCTTGGATGTCATGCCAATGATAATGGAAAGCTAACAAGGCAGCAAATTTGGTAACAACCATTATGTCGTTTTACGTGATCAACTTTGTAAGTTGAATCTGATTTGTACCATCAAGCTACGGACTTACCATATTGAGGAGCCCATCGATTGATAGACGTAATAATTAAGCTACGCTTTTGAACAAGATGATCTAAAAGGCACAACAGTTCTAGATTTGCACTGGCTCCATGCAACGCTTCATTCAATTTGTTGTTACTCATTATAGAAGTGTCTATTGGTTTGTGGAAATTACTCGACAGAGCATGTGAGCTATAAGGGGACCAATATGGGCAAATCATACTCGATCGTAGTTTTCCTGGGTCCAATACCAACCGTTCTCAATATTATCAGACAACAAATTATGTGCCTGCCTTCCATGATAACTATTTGCTTCTACAATCTGTTACTGCATTCAACAATTTTATATTTGTGATGGAAGGGAAATAATATGCTTGGGTTTGTGGGTTCACAAAACATTTAAGATAAAGAACAAATAGTTAAGTTTCTCATGCCTTCTTTTCTTATCCATTTGTGATGCGATTTTATAAATAATATCAATTAGTATTTTGTGCATCATAGGTATTTTTTAATTCAGATAAAATATTAAAAAATATATAATTTAAAAGAGAAAAAATATTTAAAGATATATGCATAATTAATTCAAGTAAAATAATTATTTCAAATAAAATTAATTTAAAATTAAAAAAAAAAAGTTAAATTACATATTATTCTTTAAAAGAAGGTAGGTATATTTAGAGATCTAATCATTTAGAAAATATATACTCTAATTTAGTATATAATAGAAGATGTATTTTTAGGTACACTGAAACATTTTATTATTATAAAAAATTATACTCTAATTTAATGTATAAGAGCAGATAAATGTGATTGTTTATATGGACAAACTAATGATGCAGTTAAAGAACACGTTGGTCAAAAAAAAAAAAAAAACACGTTGGAAATTTATCCGGAGGTATGGTGGTTATATTTTGCCTCTTTTCTCCAACTAACTCTTAAAATTAGCTAGAACATCAACTGTTGTTACATTAAGATCTTCACAATTATTATATAAAATTCTTTAATTCACCTTATAGAGGAATTTGTTATTTTTGAAACTATTTATTAATAATAATTATTATTATTATTTAAATTAATTAATTTATTGTCAATTCACCATAATTAATGATCGAGTTTTTGCTTCAGTTTTGAATTTAGTAGGCCTCCCATTAACCGGTGATTGGTAGGTATTACTTCAATCAGCAACACAATAACAGTAAGCAAAAATAGAAGAATGACATCAATGTTTTTAAAACAGAACGATAGTCCTCCTTCGAGGGGAGGTGCCTCCTTAACCACAAGGGTTTTCTAAAAACGTCTGATGCCTTCATTTGCTCCAGAAGGGATATTTTATACACACAACGCAAAACAGAAAAGTAAAATAACTAAACGGTTGAGGCACAGCAGCATGGATTGCCCTTACACCTTTTGCAACAGAATACTTCACCCCTATCTAACAGAATCCTCACACACTCGACCCCTTTCCCTGAGTCACATGGTAACTAATTAATTGATCAAATAGTCTCTCATCCATTTGGGTTTGGTCTTGCACCTTTTAGACCATTTAACCTTTGGGCTGATATGTTCTAATGCCAACTCATCTTCTGGTTCCTCATCTGTCTGGGCCTCCTCCCTTGTTAGTTGGCCTTGGTTCATATCATCCCCTTTTTCTTCGACAAACACCTTTCCCTCAAGGTGTAGCTTGGGATAATCATGTAAAACACGTGTGAGATTCTCCCAGGAAGCGTCATCCGGATAAAGAACAGCCCACTGAATAAGAGCTTGCACATTATTGGGATCCCCATCCTCTTTAACATCAAACACAGCAAGTGGTTGTATTATCGGTTGGTGGAGATGAGCAAAAGGAGGTAATTCCAGTGGCACATCAGTGGAGTTATGGAAGAAGGGCTTGAGCAGGGAAGAGTGGAACACAAGATGAATCCGGGACCCTTTGGGAAGAGCCAACTCAAAAGCTACCTCACCAATGCATTTGATTATAGGAAAAGGTCCATAGTACCTCTTTGCCAGTTTGTGAGAGGTGCGCAAGGCCACTGACTGCTGTCTATAGGGTCGAAGCTTGACCAACACTAAATCGCCTAATTTAAATGAATGATCCAGCCTCTTTTTATCAGCGGATTGTTTCATAGAATTCTGAGCCTTCGACAACTTAGTTTTGATTGAAGTCAACATAGCATCTCTGTCCAGCAGTGTAGCGTCCACAACCTGAACATTACTAGTGCCTGCTATATAAGTTGGAACATTGGGAGGCTCGCGGCCAAAGACCACCTGAAAAAGAGTAAGGCCCGTAGCTGAATGGGTTGAGGTGTTGTAACACCACTCCGCCCAATGCAGATAACGGCCCCATTGCTTCGGTTGGTGGTGAACGTAGGCCCTCAGATACTGTTGTAAAATTATATTCATCACCTCTATTTGCCCTTCACTTTGTGGGTGGTAAGCGGATGACATGCGGAGCTTCGTACCACTAAGACAAAAAAGCTCCTGCCAGAAATGGCTCATAAATACAGGGTCTCTGTCGGAAATGATGCTTTTAAGCATTCCATGTAAACGGGAGATCAAGTGTGCAAATAAATCTGCTACCTTTGCTGCAGTAAAATGAGTTTGGAGCATGCCAAAATGAGCAGCCTTGGAAAACCGATCGACGACAACCAAGATGACAGTGAAGGTTTGGAATGAAGGTAGCCCTGTTATGAAATCTAGCGAGATGTCTTCCCACACCTGTGTAGGAATAGGGATCGGCTGTAATAAACCAAGTGGTTTGGCTGTGGTGGATTTAATCTGCTGACAAACTACACAGTTTTTGACAAACTCTATCTTGTCATTTCTCATACCATCCCAGAAAAAAAATTCATGAAGACGAGTATAAGACTTGAGCACCCCAAAATGGCCGCCAAGTGGAGTTGTATGGAATTCTTCTAATAATAGTCTCTTGAAGGAAGAATTAAAACTCACCACAATCTTGTCATGGTGAAGTAAAAGACCCTGCTGCAGTGAATATCCCGGTTGTGAAAGGGGATCAGCTTCCAAGTCCTTCAGTATTTTTTGAATAGCCGAATCGTGGGCATAGTCGGCTATGAGCTTAGGGAGGAAGTCAAATTGGGGAACAGTAAGGGTAAGCACTTGAGGAGTGGAGGTGTGAACCCGGGAAAGTGCATCCGCCGTGCGGTTGTCACGGCCTGGCTTGTAAACGATGTCATAATCGTACCCTAATAATTTGGAAAGATAGTGCTGCTGATCCGGGGTTTGAATGACCTGTGTCTTCAACTCCTTCAAACTCCTCTGATCGGTGTGGATGGTGAATTTATGCCCCAGTAGATAGTGTCTCCATTTTTTAACAGCTTCCACAATGGCATGGAGTTCACGGACGTAGGTGGAAGAAGAGATCAATTTAGCACAGAAATTCTTGCTAAAATAACATATAGGGTGGCCACCTTGTAATAGGACTGCTCCTAACCCATCTCCTGAAGCATCTGTCTCCAATGTGAAAGGAATACTGAAGTCGGGTAAAGATAGAACAGGGGACTAAGTCATAGCCTTCTTGAGGCTCTCAAAAGCTTGGTGGGCAGAAGAACTCCACTGGAACGCATCTTTTTTAAGCATGTCTGTCAGTGGAGCAGCAATTGAAGCATACCCTTGAACAAACTGACGATAGAA